GTTAAAATGAACAAATTATTATTTTCAACGTGTTTCTAAATAAAAAATATCTATACCATGAGAAATTGTAGTCTCATTTTTTTCTATTAGATTAAAGCTGAGAGTAAGAAGAATTATCTCCACGCATTCATTGTCCTTCAAGTATAAATTAATTTATTCCATTGTTTTTATGAGAGGACAACATGTTTTTTACTCTCTATTGTTTTTATTGTACAGATTCACCTTTGCTCAAGCATCTTTATTCTTTGGAGGCAACTAGCCTTAACACACGTTCCTTTGGCTAACATATTTGGTATACTCTCTCTCTTTTTTTCATTTTACATACCAACCACAGGTCCCCCTCTCTTCCCTCCTTCTGCTCAACCCCCGCCTCCTCCTCCTCAATCCACCTCCAACATGGTACGTTCATCCTCTCCTCCAACAATATAAGTTCTCTCATGGGAGGACAGCTAAGTACATTTGGTTAAGGCAGGACCAAGCCATTCCTGGCTGCATCAAGGGTGAGCAGGGTGTCCTACCACATGTAATGGGATCCAGAAAGCCAGTTCCTGCACTAGCGATAGATCCTGATCACACTGCCAAGGGCCCTTCAAACAGACCCAGCTACACAATCATCTCCCATATGCAGATAGTCTACTCTGGTTCCATGCGGGATCCACAGCTGTAGAGGACAACTCTTTAAAAAAGAGTTTGGAGCTGGGCGGTGGTGGTGCACACCTTTAATCCCAGCACTCGGGAGGCAGAGCCAGGCGCATCTCTGTGAGTTCGAGGCCAGCTTGGGCTACCAAGTGAGTTCCAGGAAAGGTGCAAAGCTACACAGAGAAACCCTGTCTTGAATAACCAAAAAAAAAAAGAGTTTGATGTGAATTGAAGGATATTTAATTTCACAACATATTTAATTACTTAGTATGGAAAGCTAAAGAACAACATTAAAAATATAGAAGATATAAATTAACTTTAAATGCCAATCAATAGACCTGCATTGTTATTTTTCATATTATAGTGAAATTACATCATTTTCCTCTTCACTTTTCTCTGACTAAATGATCCTGTTACAAACTCATGAACTCTTTTTTAGGTTTTTATTATACATGCATATATATATATATATATATATATATATATATGTTCAAATATCTGTGAGTACATATTAGGAATATAAATGTAAGTATAACTCCTATACATAATATATACCTCATATAATATATAACCTATAGATATAACTTCAATTATAATGTATAAATTATGTACTATATGATTCATGTATATGAATACATATAAATATACAATCCTAAATTGTATATGAATACCATTTTGTCTTACAAATCATTTAGTGTCCTCTGCCTCATGGAAGACTTTTTCTTCCTCTGTCAGCTTTACTTTGTTCCCTGTAATCCTTGTATGGTTGAGGTCTAATGAGGTTTGCCATTCACATCTGTATGCCTATTGCTGTGTTCCTAGTTCAGCTCATATTTATGAAGTCATGTTGATCAGACATTATGTGTCTCTATGGATAATGTATAACATTCCTAAGAGACATAATCTCACAGCAAACTCACAGGTCCTCCGGCACTTAGATTCCTTCTGTCTGATCTTCATCAATGAAACCTGAACCTGAGGGGAGTATTTACTGGAAATGTATCAATTGTAACTGGGATCCACAATTATTCAATTTGATTGCTTGTGGCCTTGTATAATTGTATGCATCTGTTTCAATATGACATATCTTTAAAGAGATCTGAAGAATAGACTTAATTGTATATGACAACAAATATTTAGAATGTTTAGGGACTATGCTATTTTAGTAAAGTGGCAGTTGTAGCTTCTCCTCTGAGATCCAAGAGTTCAATACTTCTTGGTTGTTCCTTTCATTTCCATAACTAGGTTTGGCTTTCCTCTTGACAAGCAGTAATTATGTTCAATTACAGCTAACAATAGCATTTGTGAAACCTCCTAACCTAGTATATGCACATAAGAGCAAAAGAGTCAACACAGCTAGGACAAAACTCACAGTAGTAAAGTCTAACAATTTTATTTTATTTAATGATGTGGAAATAGAAAATATTTTACTTCATATATTGTATGTATTTGTATGAAGTGGTGATGAATTCTGAAGAATTATGTAATAATAAAGTGGCACGTTGTAACCTATTCATGATGTAAATGAAGAGTATATACTAATTGAAGGACAAGCCGTTAATTGGAAGAAGCATACAGATAAATGATGTGCAAATGCCCAGATTAAAAGGAAACTGGGGTTAGTCAGCTAGACTTAAAACCAGGTGGACATATGTGACATATGTCAGAGGACAAATAAGGATCCATGTAGTTAGACCTAGTTACTTGTTCTGATTGACTGACATTTGACATTGGGTAATGAAATATAATTCGTAGTAAGTCTGCATGCTAACTTAGCATGAAACATATTATTCAATGACTGATGAAATATTATGTTCAAGAAGATCAAATTTACATTTTGAAAATCCCATATTCTTCAGTATAATTACATAAACATGAGGGTCTTGAGACCTTAAGAAACATATGGATGTTCTTCTACAAATCTGGTATATTATAAGTTGAATATAAAATAAAGTTTTGATCTATATATTTTACCACAGTTATTAAAGACAAGATAAAATATTACTATTAAACACTTTCAAAATTTAAAATGTGATTTGTACAATTGGAAAAAATATACTTGATGCTTTCAAGCAATTTAAATCAATAACATGAATCTTATAGTCTATATTATAGAAGAATATGGTGGGGTGGTAGTACTGGTCACCTTTAATCTCAGAAGAGGTGGAGTGAGGCTGTCCATCTCAGAGGAGCAGAGGAAGATGTAGGTAGATCTCTATGCATTCAAAATACCATGATATTCACAAGGTTTCAGACAAGCCCAGATACATACTAAAGTCCTGCTCTTATGAAAATACAACCTGGATTTCAAGTGTGCATAACTCCAATAGCTTCAGTATAAAGAGGCTCTAGTGCAATTGGATGACTGTAGACAGAAAATTTCCTGTAAGCAAATGACCATGTAAAAGTACAAAGGAGTGATCTCTTATGCCAATGCGTTCAGGTCTACTTCCTACTTTCTCTTCTATCAGGTTCAGAGTAACTGGGTTTATGTTGAGGTCTTTGATCCACTTGGACCTAAGCTTTGTGTACGGTGACAGATGTGGATCTATTTGCAGCCTTCTACACATTGACATCCAGTTATGCCAGCACCATTTATTGAAGATGCTTTCTTTTTTCCATTGTACCGTTTTGGCTTCTTTGTCAAAAATTATATGTTCATAGGTATGCAGATTAATGTCAAGGTCTTCAATTCGATTCCATTGGTTCACATGTCAGTTTTTATGCCAGTACCAAGCTGTTTTTATTACTTTTGCTCTATAGTAGAGCTTGAAGTCAGGGATTGTTATGCCTCCAGAGGTTGTTTTATTGTACAGGATTCTTTTGGCTCTGCTGGCTTTTTTGTTTTTCCATATGTGGTTGAGTATTATTCTTTCCAGGTATGTGAAGAATTGTGTTGGTATTTTGTTGGGGATTGCATTGAATCTGTAGATAGCTTTTGGTAAGTTTGCCATTTTTACTATGTTAATCCTGGCTATCCATGAGCATGGGAGATCTTTCAATTTTCTGACATCTTCTTCAATTTCTTTTTTCAGGGACTTAAAGTTCTTGTCATATAGGTCCTTCACTTGCTTAGTTATTGTTACCCCAAAGTATTTTATATCATTTGTGGCTATTGTAAAGGGTGAAGTATCTCTGATTTTCTTCTCAGCCTGTTTGTCAAATATATATAGGAGGGCTACTGATTTTTTTGAGCTGATCTTGTATCCTGCTATGTTGCTGAAGATGTTTATATACTGTATCAGTTCCTTGGTTGAATCTTTGGGGTCACTCAAGTATACTATCATGTACTCACTCATAGGAGGATACTAGATGTAAAACAAAGATTACTAGACTGCTACTCACAAATCCAGGGAGGCTACTTAGAAAACAGGACCCTAAGAGAGACACAGGGATCACCCAATGATAGAGAAATGGATGAGATCTACATGAACAACCTGGATGTGAGTGGGTGTAATAAAGGGCAAGGCTGAAGGGAAAGAGAGCTTAGGGGAGCAGGAGATCCCAGCTGGATCAAGAACACAGAGAGAGAACAAGAAATAACAGACCATGATAAATGAAGACCACATGAGAACAGGAAGAAGCCAAGTGCTAGAGAGGTCCACAGAAATCCACAAAGATACCTCCACATCTTTGTGAGAGAAAGCAATGGGTGAGAGAAAGCCTGAACTGACCAACTCTGGTGATAGGATGGCCAAACACCCTAATTGTCATGCTAGAAACCCCATCCAATGACTGAGGCCAGGCTCCAGGTGGCCAGGAGTCCAACTGGCGAGAAAGAGAGGGGTTTGTATGAGCAAGAATTGTTGAGACCAAGATTGGAAAAAGCAGAGGGACAAATAGCCAAACCAATGGAAACACATGAACTATGAACCAATAGCTGAGGAGCCCCCAACTGGATCAGGCCCTCTGGATAAGTGAGACAGTTGATTAGCTTGAACTGTTTCGGAGGCATCCAGGCATTGGGACTGGGACCTGTCCTCAGTGCATGAGCTGGCCTTTTGGAACCTGGGGCTTATGCAGCAACACTTAGCTCAGCCTGGGAGGATGGGACTGGAACTGCCTGATCTGAATCTACCAGGTTGAACTCAATACCCAGGGGAATCTTTGCCCTGAAGGAGATGGGAATGGGGGGTGTGCTGGGGGGAAGGTGTAGGGGTGAATGGGAGGGGGGAGGACAAGGGAATTCGTGGCTGATATGTAAAATTAAATTAAAATAAAATAAAAATAAAAAATAAAATAAAAAAGCACAAAGAATCAAACCCATACTCTAATTGCATAACACATATTTTCAGGAGACATTAACTGGACTTCATCTTTGAAATTCATGTCTTAATATAATAACTATGTTGTGTTTACAACTAGGTTTTGAGAGGGTTATTGCTTCTAGAAGGTGGCCTGTTCCTGATATAATGAACTGAGTTCTTATCTGGCCTTATTAAGATAATATAGCACTTAGGGACAAAAATGAAGCCAAGGAGGGCTGCACTAGAAGCCAAGATGGAGAAGACTTCCATAGCCACCATGATCTTTCCCTTGGTGCTGTGGTAGACAGGGAGGAATGTGAGCCAGACACAGAAGAACACCAGCATGCTGAATGAGAGGAACTTGGCTTCATTGAATGTGTCTGGAAGATTCCTTGACATGAAAGCCATAGTAAAACTCCCAAGTGCCAAGGAGCAGAGATATCCCAGTATAGAATGGAAGGCAAAATCTGAGCCCTTGTTACACACAAGGATGATATGCCCATGTTCAGCATGAGCATCTTGGTCAAGGAAGGGAGGAGATGTTCCTAGCCAGATTCCACAGAGGACAAGGTGGATCAGAGTACATATGGGGATGATGAAGTTTGGAGCCTTTGATACTATTAACCACCTCACCACTCTCCCTGGAAAAGTGACCTTGAAGGCAATAACCACAGTGATAGCTTTGGCCAACACAGTGGCAAGAGCCACAGTGAAAGCACCTCCAAATGTGATCTGCTGCAGGATACAGGCTGTGGTGTTGGGACGGCCAATGAAGAGCAAGGAACATAGGAAACAGACAGTGAGTGTGATGAGCAATGTGTAACTAAGGGTCCTATTATTAGCTTTGACAATTGGAGTGTCTCTGTGCTTCACAAAGAGTCCAAGAACCACAGTTGTGAGTACAGAGAAGCACAGAGCTATGGTTGTGAGAGACATCCCCAAGGGGTCCTCATGGTTAAGAAAACTCACAGCTTTCTGGAGGCACTGTTTCTTCTCTGTCTCTGCATAATGACTCTCTGGACACTTCATGCACTTTTCCATATCTGGTCAGATGAAAGTGAGATTTAATCCAAGCTGAAGTTATCCCTTCTTTTCTAAGCCATTTTTCTGTACTTTTTGACAGAACTGTTATCTACATCACTTTCCTTTTTTTCTCAGGGACAAAGAAACAAACTCTGTAGTGAACATTTTCATATTTATACCACCTAACTTCCTTATCTGATATTTCAGTTATTATTCATGTGAACTTATAAAGTGTGTTGATCCAACTCAGCCCTCTTTCCTCTTGCTCCTTTCCTCAACTTCTCACACTTTTATTTCCAAACTTAATATGCTCTCTTATCTCTTCTTTTTACATTTTAATACTCACTGAGTATATTGAGTGATGCTAGTGTTTACATATTATGGGGGCAACACCTGGACTATGGGCAACATTTCAGAGTCCACAATCTTAAAGAGAAAGTGATATTCAGTCTTTGGGTAGTAGTTATCAATTACTAGTAGCTCCTCATACAACCCATATTCTTTATAGTTATATAAATTAAATATACCTTACACTCTTCTCTCTTTTATACCTTCAAGCCTCTTGTACTCTTAGTGTATCTCTTTTGTAATTATTAGAAAACTGAATTACAATACATAAACATACTTTATTTCTGAAACCACATCATAAGTCATACCACATTATTAATTTGAATAGTGTAAAAGAGGGAGTATGCTCTTGAAATTATTTTCATAAAATACTCTTCTTAAACATAGGGTCTCAATTTTCTTATCATTATAAAATGCTTCCTGTTTTCTAATATTGACTCTTTTCTGTGGAAGCTTTAGTGAATAGGCATTACTACATTGTTACAGGCTTGACTAGTGCACTAGTGAATTGTCGTCATTCCATTTGAGGAAAGGTCAGAACTATTGAGACAGATTTAGGGTATGAAACAAAAGTGTTATAATATTCTGCTCTTAAAAATTCATAAAATTAATTGTAGCAGGAATCTTAAAATTTCTTATTAATAAAATCAAACCTCAGCCAGTTATTGGGGTGAACTCAAAGATCAGAGAACCAGAACCAGCCACAGCTACCTCACCTCGCCAGATCCTCAGCTGGTCTTGTTTCCTCAGACTAGAGGCCTCTGTGCCATCATCCAGAAAGGGTCTCAGCTGAATTGCTTCTCAAAAGCCTGAACGCTTAACCAGGCCAAAAGCTTAAACAGACCAAATGCTTCTTATTCCTGGTACACAAGCCTTATAAATTTGCTACCTTTTATCATCACTCCCTGGGATTAAAGGCCTGCTTTCTGGGATTAAAGGTGAGTGTCACCATGCCTGGCTGTTTCCAGGGTGGCCATGAACTCACAGAGTTCAAGAGGGATTTCTGCCACTGGAATGCTAGGATTAAAGGTGTGAGTGCCACCATTTTCTAGCCTTTGTATCTAGTGGCTGTTCTGTCTCTGACCCCAGATAAGTATATTAGGGTGGACAATATTTTGGGGAACACAATACCACCACAATTCATCTTGTATTTGAAGTACAAGAACAGTGATTTATGCAAGCCAAATTTCCACTGTCATTTTTGTATGATTTTAAAAAGAAACTCATCACCTGATTCTCAATTTATTTTGTTGACAAATTTTATTAACATATTATTAAATTCACTTTAGTAGAATAAAACTTATTTCTATAAACCTTGTAAATAATGTTTCCTTCAGCTATTGTGACACATTGTTGTATCTGTTGTTAGGGCCTACTTTCAAGGTATGACCTCAGGCTCTGTTATTTCCTTCTCTTTAATGTGGAGGTGTTCATTTTGTTTTAGTTTTCTAAGTTTAAAGGATGACTCACTTGTATAACTCCATTCCTTACTAAAGGCACATGACACATGTAATAAAAACTACTACGTGTGTGTGTGTGTGCGTGCGTGTGTGTGTGTGAATATGTGCATGCATATTCACTAAAAGTATGTTTCTTTTGAATAACAGCTTGAGGGCAGAGTCTTTTACATCTCAATATGAGAAATCCATGAAAGAAGTTGCAGAAAGAATGTAAAAGTCAGAGGTCATGAACTACTTCAAGGGAATAGAAACTGCCAGACACAGTTGGGCAGTTGAATATATAATTTTGAGATTTGTTATCATGTATATAACATGTGAAAGTTCACGGCAGACCAAAAATCATTATGTATGGAGAGTTGGCATAAAGTACTACATTTAACTGAGAAGCTATTTGAACTCATAGCTGCTATAAGGGGAAGACACTTGAAACTTTAAGAATGTGGCAGTATGCATTAGTTCATATTCCATCAGGGACTCCACTCCAAAGAGTATTTGGGTAGTAGAAACGGAATTCAATGAGTTTTTCTTAATTTTTTTTAACAAGAGAGAAAAGAAGTTAGGTAGGAAAGTGAAAGATTTGGGAGGATATGAATATGATCAAAACAAATACTATGAAATTCTCAAAGAATAGAAAACATTTAAAAATTTCAAAATTGAAATAAAGCTGGTCACAAATTTAGTATTAGGTATGGAAATACTAGCTTTTAAATATTTTTCTTCCCAATGAATTATGCTGTGATTATGTTCATGAACTATTCTTCTAAAAGGAGATTCTATATTCCATTGAAGCTCTTAGGTCTTGGTACAACTCTCAGTAACAGACAGTTGGAACTGCTTTGAGGATATTGTTTTATATACTGTTTCTCATAATTGGAGCATAATAATGGACATAATCCTATTCATTAAGGAAATTTGAAATTTTAGTTCTGCTGTACAGTCAATAATTATATAGTGGGATATCAAACACAAATTGCTAATTTTCTGTTCTTGCTGGGAAGAATCATTATTAAAATAACCTATCCAACATTTAGGTAAGTTCTAATCATTATTGAAATACAGTTAGGAAAACATCATATTTGTGCACTTTATTATTCTGTGTTAAATTATGTGGGGAAATAAAGCATATTGTTTAGTACAGAGTAAAAGGGTTTCCTGGAGGAAACAAAAGCTGAAGTTGATCATAAATTTAAATCAATTATTAATTTCAGTGCCTACTCTGCACTATTTCAAGACATGGTGATGCACATTTCATATCCTAAATAAGGGAAGGAATAAAATTTTCTGACTTCTCTCTAGATATTTTTAAATTTTTCAGTAATGCAGAATCCTATAGAAATGTGGAGCCATTTCTGTAAGATTGATTCTTACCTGTCTCATTGGAAATCTCATTGTCTGCACAAGGAGTGCAATCATAGCAGCAAACAGCCTTGCCCTCCAGGGAAATTTTCCTGAATCCAGGCCCACAGCTCTCACTGCACACAGACTTAGGAACCTGAGAAAAATGGGAGCACAGTTACCAAATTCTAATGGTTTATTGAAAGTCTTAATAATATTTTTTAATATCACATAATTAATTTGCAAGTTTTATTCCTATAAAAGTATAAAAGGAATTTGAGCATCTGTGATCTATACAAAATTGGTCTGAGGATTATCTGATTATTAGACAATTTGGATCATAATGAGGTAGGTACAAGTTTGATGCAGGGAGGTCATAGAAGCCATGACATAGAAGGACAAGTGGTCCTTCCAGAAGGATCTTGTCTCTGTGCTTGCTTTCTAATGTGTTGAGAAACTTTTATTTCCATGATGATTGTAAATCTTGCTTGTCAACTTGACAGGATTTACAATCTCCATGTATACCAATTGTTGGGCATCCCTGTGAGTGTTTTTAAATAGAAGGTTAAAGGGTTCACTTTAAGGGTGAGCATCACCATTCTATAGGCTATTGTCTCAGAAATGAGAATGAGAAAAAGGTGATTCATGGTATTTATTTTTTTTCTATTGACTGAGAATATGATGTCATCAGGAAACTCATGCTCCTAGAGCAATAAATTTCCAAAGATAAGGAAGGGCTGAAAGCTCATACTGTCATCCAAAAGAAACACTTGCTTAAGTTACATTAGGTATGTATGTATCTTCAGTAGCAGAACAAGAGACAACATACACACATGCACGCTATAGTATTTCAATTCAAGGGATGGATAAAAGAAATAAGTATTTATCTTCTGTAATATTAAACATGGAATCAAGATGAACTACTCAAATTTTAGATACAGTGAAGGAATTCTAATAGTGACATTGTGTATTGGTTTGAATGAAAAGTGGCAATTATAAACACAGATATGTGACTGTATATTCCCTCAGTGGTGGTGCTATCTTGAGAGTTATCGCAACTTTGAGAGTTGCAGACTTATTGGCAGAATTATTTCAGTGTTTGGGGTTTTTGAAAATTTATGACCCTCACCTAATTCCAGTATTCACTCTCTGCTTCCAATGTGTGGATTGAGACATTTTGTTTCAGGTTCCTGCCCATCTGTCCACAGATGCCACACACTGGCATGCCTCCTAAGTATAAAGGACACTAGGAACTCCAGAACCATATGTCCGATAAACTCTTTTTTCCAAAAGTCACTTCTGGTGATGGTGTTTGTTCATAGCAAGACAATATAACTTATTCAGTTTTCTTTGTGAATGTAGAGATTTTCTACATCAGAGTGTCCTGTGAGACATTATGAGGAATGCATATACCACTTCTCAGGTATACTTAATTTGTGTCAAAATGACAAAATTTGACTCATGCACCACTGAATATTAGTATACATTTAAAGCTTAAAAACAACCTTTTTTAAGAATGAGGAGATGATAAAGCACTGTCTTCTAGTAGTTATTTTTTTTTTGCTTTTGTCTCTTGGGAATTTTATAGTACTGGGATTTAATCTCAAAAGTAGAAGTTATACTGGGGAATATATTTGTATTATTATGATAAGTTTAATGCATTGAAATAATATATAACCCACCTCTGAATATCTTTCAGGCCACTGTATCATCTTCTCAGATAAAGTCAACTGTTGACTGTGGGGAGCATTGGGCAAAAAATTTCCTACTTTCACTTTTAGTCCAAGACCCTTTGGAAAATTCCAAAAGTTGAGAATATCATACTTATCATCATCTAACTTCTGTTTCCATTCTAAAGCCATGGTGGTTCCCACATGGATATTACTCAAGAAAGGATGAAGCTGAAAGTGATGCAAGAATATGTTTTAAATTAGTTCTGAGAGTTTGACCACCAATGGATTGTACAATAACTCTCAATGTTCATAATCTGTGGTGCAGAACACAATAATAATGTAGGTATCATTGAAGGTCAGCAATGGTGACCTAAGTTAATGGGATACAATTCTACATCTGAGGAACAGTCAGTCTCAAGAACATCTTCTATACAAACTTAGGAATGGAATTGGTGAGTATTGATTGAAGAAAATATCAATTTCTTTAAAAGAAAGCTATACCCATTTACACACAGGGTTCATCTCAAAGTTCATTGAATAAAATGTGGGTACTTATGACTAAATAGTAGTTAAAAGAAATCATTAATGTACTAATAACCTGGGATAATGAGCTTTCAATGTTTCACTGAGAAAATTCTTAGGTTTCTGGTGTAAACGTTACAATGAAAAAAATGTGCAACTATTTGTGACACAAATTTCATATTCATTAAAATCACTTCCTCCTAGCCACTAGCTACTTTTTCCTCAGCAACATGAACACAAAGATCTGCACTGACCTGGAAGATAGGATAACACATGAAGAATCTCCTGTGGATACACACACACACACACACACACACACACGTATGTATATATGTATGTATATATACATATACCATATGGAAAATACTGAAATATGTAATACCTAATTTCGTGCCTCTGAAGACTCAAAATTTCACATTGCTGATAGTCTTATACCATGGAAGGAATATTACCTGCCAGGGGTAGAACACCATTTTTTC